CTGTTTGGTGCTACTGGGACTGGTGGGGGGAGGGATGGCATCCCAGCTGTCCTTGGGGGGTCCTCCAGGGCCTCCTGCTGCACGTGGACCCCTGGGCCCTTGGGGCCTGAGAGCCCCCAGAAGCCCCATGAAGCCACGTCCCTGGGGAAGTTCCTGCCTCATGAGCGGGCCGTGTCTAATGGCAGAGGTGGGCGGGGATGGTGGCCTCCAGCTGGCGCGAGGCAGGGCGGGGATTGGCTGCGTCCTCGGGGCCTCTGTCCTCCAGACCGGCTCTGGGGGCAGCCTGTGGGCAGCCGGGCATGACGGGCCCTTGCTCCCTGCTCCCTAGGAGATCATCCTGAAGCGTGCGGCCGACATCGCCGAGGCGCTGTACAGCGTCCCTCGCAACCACAACCAGATCCCCGCCCTGGGCAACACCCCTGCGCACACCGGCATGATGGGCGTGAACTCCTTCAGCAGCCAGCTGGCCGTCAATGTCTCGGAGACGTCCCAAGCCAGCGACCAAGGTACGCGGAGCCCCGGCCCGGACGCCCTCCGGGGCCGAGCCTGAGCCGCGAGCGCCGCCCCGCTGTCAGCCCGGCGGCCTGCAGACAAGGCTCAGAGCACCCAGAAGTCACAAGAGCAGCTGTGTCACTGCCGCGCGGTTTCCGGGTTTTGCTAGATGTTTCCTTGGACATGTTCCCAAGTGACTCCGCTCCCCTGAAGGCCGGGGGGAGCCACGGGAGAGCGGTGCCGGAGCGGGCCGGGGGCCTCCTGGACGTGTTGCCTGGGGGAGCTTTAGTTGCTAAGTTTGGCATGAAACCCCTCCCCACCCTGCACCCGACCCTGTAGTGTGGCGACCGGGGCGACCGGGCTACCTCGTTGTGGAAGCCGGCGCTTGGGGCCCTGGCAGCTGTCCCCTCCGTAGGCAGTAACCGCAGACACCCCGCCCCGCGCTGACGCCCCCTCCAGTGGAGGAACGACGCGGCCGCCCCCGCCCCCCACACTTGCAGAAATAGCAGCTGCAAGAAGACCCCCAAACGGCCTTTCCTGGGGAGGCACGGCCGCAGACGCGTGCTCCTTGTCAGCCACGGCGTTTGAGGGTCCGCAGAGGCCAAACGTTCACCCGGCCGGGGCAGCCCGGGGGTCCAGGCCCCCGGCGCGGTGAACTCTGTGACGGGTGGATCGGAGCGGCCGGGCCGGCCTGAACCAGCAGAGACCGGACGGGCTGCGACCCCGGCCTTTCGGGTCGGCGAGACGAGGTTGCCGGAGCCGGCGTGGCGCGGCTCGGTGCGCGGTCGGCGAGCGCGTCTGCTCTGTGGTCTAGCTTGGCGGGGACGCCCCCAGTTCTCTCCCTGATAATAACGTTATTTTTGGCCGGGGGGGATTTCAACAGTCGGCTACAGTCGTAACACAAGCAGCGTGTCCCCGCGAGGATACGTGCCCAGCAGCACTCCCCAGCAGTCCAATTACAACACAGTGAGCACTAGCATGAATGGATATGGAAGTGGCGCCATGGCCAATCTAGGGGTGCCGGGCTCGCCTGGATTCCTTAATGGCTCCTCCGCTAACTCTCCCTACGGCAGTAAGTGTCTGTTTTTGTCACACGTCATCACGCAGATTCATATTCACGCAGAGTCAAATGTGTGCGTTGCTTGGATGTTCTGTGATGTGAGCTACTGGATAAAGGAAGGGTGGCCCCGGAGGCTGGGCGTCCCCGTGACGACCGTAAATTGACCCCACACGGGCCCCACGCGATCACTTGGAAACCCCAACGCAATCGGAACAAAACGGGGGCTGCCCAATTGGAAACGAACCCCCAGAGTCTGCCTGTTATCCAGAGAGTGGCCAGGCCAGAAACATCCCATGTCTGTTTGTGCCCCGTGCTCGAGGCGAGGCCGCGATGCTGTCGCGTGCTGTGCCCGCGCCGCCGCGTCCTGACCGTCTTTGCTTTGTTGCAGTAGTGCCGTCCAGCCCCACCATGGCAGCCTCTTCGGTCACCCTCCCTTCAAACTGTAGCAGTACACACGGCATTTTCTCATTCTCACCTGCCAATGTCATCTCCGCAGTGAAACAAAAGAGCGCCTTCGCGCCCGTGGTCCGGCCCCAAGCTTCTCCTCCTCCCTCCTGCACCAGCGCCAACGGGAACGGACTCCAAGGTGAGGGCGGCGCGGGGCCGGGCGGGCCCGGCAGAGCTGTCCCAGACGGTCCCCGTAGGGCCCGGCGCCCGGCGGAGGGGGGAGGCCGCTGCCAGGCCCTCTCCCCGGGGGGAGACGAGGGGCCCCCTCGGAGTGCGCTCTTGGCTGCCTTGCACCCGCCTGGCTGCTGCATGCTCCCCCTTGGTCTGCGAGAGGCCGGGGCCCAAAGGACGCTGGTCCGTTCGGCTCCCGAGTACCAGATGCTCCGATGAAAGCCCCCACCCTGTGCTCCGACACGGCCTCGCGTGCTCCCGGGAGGCGGCCCCAGCCTCGGGCACTGGAGCCCCGAGGGAGCGTGAGCCGGACGGCGGTGCCGGCCGCAGGGTCTGGCCCCCGCCCCACTCAGCAAACTGACCTTGATGGTCCTGCTGGGAAAGCAGCGCAGGGGAGCCCTCCCGCACTCCCGGCTCCCCGTGGGCCCCTCACAGCCCGTCTCAGAATCAGCCCGCGCTCGTGGCCATGAGCTTAAGCCCACGCCCCAGCCTGACTCCTGGGGCGTGTCGTTGCGAGGCCCAGGCCCAGCCGTGCATGCGCCGGCACCCGAGAGGATTAGCTTCTCTAAGCAATCGCTGTCAAAGGCTCGAGAGGGAGAAGGGCCGCCCCGAGGGCAGTGGGAGGCGACGCCTGGACACAGCTGCCCGCAGACGGGGCACGCAGACCAGGGGTCCAGCGCCTGCCCGGTGCCGGGGGGCCCTGGGCAGTGGCCGTACCTGTGTGGCAGGTGGAGCCACGTGAGTGCCCCAGGCCTCGTGGGCTGGCGCGTGGCTCGGACTCCCTGAGGCCACAGGCACCGGGATTGAGTGGCCGCCGTCTGGCTCTTTCAGACACCACCTCTGGTGTGTGCTCCTCCTGGTGAAAGCCATGTGCAGTTGCTCCTTTAAAAGGTGAATGCATTCAACCAGTATTTACTGAGCGCCTACTATGTGCCAGGCTCTCTGCTGGGTGCTGAGGACGTTGCCATGGAGAAGACAAACTGGCCCTTTTGTGAAGTCGGTGGCATATTTCACTTTGATGAACTAATGCTCAAAAAAGGAACTGGAAAGGTATCAGTGATTTGCAATAATTGTCTCCACCACATCCGCTAGCTAAGCCAGGGACGCCCGGGCCCCCAAGTGCGCGGCACCAGGCCAGGCCGCTTAGCGGCAGGTGGCGCGGCCCCGACCACCGTCCACTCGGCGCCGAGGCCAGGTGCGCGGCGGTGCCGAGTGAGCTGTGTGTACGCACAGGTCTTCCAAACCATAAAGTTGTAACGGTGAGTCGGAGATAAATTAATATTGTTGAAATTAATGAACTGAGAAATTGAAGCTCGCATCCCTCCACGAACAAATGTATTAATGTGTTGCGCATAAATTAACGGCAGCGATCATTTGGACCAAAATTAAACAACACTAAAGTTAAAAGACTTTAAATGACGTGCACCACGAGGTCACTGGTAAGCGTCCACTGCACTGGGCAGTCTAGCGCCACGTTCTCTTATTCGGCGAGAACGGCGCTCCCCGCGGCGGGGCCGGCCCTTGGCCTGGAGGCCGCGGCTCAGGGGCTTCGATCTTGGAGAGCCTGAGACTCACCATTACACGCCGCTGTCCGCAGAGGCCAGGGCAGAGGCCAGGGCAGAGGCAGAGGGAAATTGAGGCACGTCCCGCTGCACTCAGGGAGCGAGAGCCGGGCCTGGGTCCGCCAGGCCAGAGCCGGCCTTGGCCGGCATCCCAGAGGTGACCGGCTGGCTGACACCGGTGACGGAGGTGGCCCCTGGGAGTGTGGCCTCCGTCTGCTCTAAACAAGCCACCGAGACCGGGGGGGGAGGCCCGTCCCCCACAGGAGTCCCGGAAGGCCTGCCTTTGCCCAAGCGCAGCCGTTGAGGAGGGCTGCAGCGTACCAGGCCTGGGGGGTGGTCCACACCCTCGCCCAGCAGACGCCCCGCACGCCCCACCGAGCCCCAGGCTGGTGGAGGGAGGGCGCGCCGGGCGGCCGGTAACCTCGCCTCTCTCTCTTTCAGCTATGTCTGGGCTGGTAGTCCCGCCCATGTAGGGGCGCCCGGCCCGTCGGCACCCGGCACCCACGGACGGACTTCAGGGGACGCGTTTCGCAGACCGCGCCGTGCCGATGGAGACGGCCTCGCCGCCGCGCCCGCAGCGGGAACGCCACGCAAGACTCTGTTTAAAGATTTTATTTAAACTATTAAGAGTCAGCACCGGACAACCGGCTTCTTCACGAACAATTCCATTTTGTTGACTGAACTTTTCTCATGTTCCCACATTTCTCAGTCCCACGACGAGGGAGAAGAAAGCGACGCCTATTTTGTATAAAGCCCCCGGCTCCGTCCTGGCCGTGTCTCGTACTTGCTATGTGTTGGGAGAAACTGTGAATGCGACATGTGATGGCCGCGGGGCGCGATGACGGGGCCTCCAGACATTCTCTGTGCTCATATTAGATTCACAATGGTTGTGTATCTCTATAATGTGAAATATTTTTTTGTGGTGAAAAAAGGGGGCCAAGGAGGTCTGAGCCATCAAACTGGAAGAGAGGGTGCCTATATGGTTAGTAAGAGAGTTGGGGTGGCAGGGTGGGGGAGGGTTTCCCATTGCTTAACTTCATCTTAAGGAAATGAAACTTTGTAACTTATTGTAGTTAGAAATTGTAACTTTGATATTGAATTCTCTTGCCTTCGACAAGCACACTGACAGAGAAGATGCTACTGTCTGTTGGTTAAAATATTCTCCCACCGCTAGAGCTTCCTGTCCGGCAGGTGAGACCTGCGACATTTTCCAGCTTTTGCTAGCACTGTATACTATTGCATTCTTAGGCTACTGTGAGGTCCATGTTTCTTGTACCAGGAATTGTCCTTTTGACTTCTAGATCCTTCTTCCCTAATGTGTTTTGTATGTGGTTATAAAATTGTAGACTTTTGTGATTTTGCCAAAGTTGTAGCTAAATATTTATACACTTGTCTTGAATTTTTTTCAGATCCACTTAAATATTTAGAAAAAAAAAAACAAGTTTTGTTCCTTATGTGTCCTATAAGGAATAAAATGGTCTCCATTCTACACTTTTCCATGAACACTTGCAGTTGCTAAGGGAGTTTATTTTGTAACATATCAATTATAAATATTGTATTTATCTTTGAGATTTTGTACATCGCGTTTCCGCCCTTTGCGTCCTGGTTCTCGAGTCTGTGTTGGCTGGACACGGCCCGGCGCGGTGCTGGGGAGGCCGGCGCCCGGCGCTGGGGCCTCTGCACTGGCCAGTGTCCGCCTCTCGTGTATGCTTTGCAGCCTGGCTCCCGTGCTATCGTTCCGACGTTCCATCCTTTTTTTTTTTTTTTTTATTTTGAGGAAAAGTCAAATTCATTGTTTATTTTTATATTATTTTTAAGTTATCTGAACAAATACTTTTGGAAAAAAAAAAGCTCGTTGTATAGTCAGAGGAAGACGGTGCCGCTGGCCCAGTAGACGCTGCATGTGGGCGGCCGCGGGGGCGGTGCCCGTGGGCTGTGTCCTGATTTGGTTTTATTTTTTTGTAGAATGTAAAAAGTCATTTTAGCTGCCACCCATGACTTTGCCACATAGCTGAACTGTGTTTACTGGAAAAATTCAGAGGCCTAAAGTTTAAAATAAAATTTACTTCTGATGTTTTAATTAAAATGTTTGCCACATTAACTTCTCTGATGCCTTAAAAGTGGACTTCTTTAAAGAACCTCTGTGCTACTTTATCACAGGCTGACACCACAATGTTGATCAATATTTCATTTGGAGATTTATGATGTAACACGCGCACACACGCACGTGCACACACGTGCACGCACGCACCCGTGCACACACACGAAAGCACAAGCCCGTGCCCCACCGTCACTCCTCCGTGTCTGCCGCAGCGCCCTGCCCCTCCCAGCCCGCCCTGGATTGCAGGCGTGGTGGGGAGCCCGAATCCCCCCCGGTTTCCAGGTGTTTTCCCAGTACAGGTTTGGGGGTCAGATCCCCCCGACATTGCACTTTTTAGCTGGAACAACCACCTCCAGACACTGCCTGCTGGTGCCGAGCCGGAGTGGGGCCCCCGGGCGCCCGCCTCGTGCTCAGGGCTTCCAGACACGCACAGCAGAGGTTTCGCAAACTGCAGCAGAAATCACATTCCAAACTAAAGGAGAGGAGGGACTTGTTAAAACACGCTTGACAAAAGCCAGAGTAATGCACAACTTCGCCAAGTGTCCGTTCGGGGACATCGTCAAACACAGGCCACCCGGGCCGGCCTCGGCTCCGGGGGCGACGAGGCGAGTCTAGCGGGGAAGCCCGAGACGTCGCCTCGGAACTAAATTGCCTCCGTTCTGTTGGGTCGCGGCGCGGGCGGCTCCCCCGGAGCACGGCCCGCGCCAGCGTCCGCCCCCTGTTTGTGTCCTGGGCCCGTCTCCGCCCTCCTGGCGTCATTGTCTTAACATCGAAGGCTTCACAAAACGGTAGATTTTCCTGTTAAAGACCCTACAATAAGATTGTTTTATCTGTACATTTTTTCAGATATTTAACTGTATAAAATGTTCATTTTACACAATATTTAATTAAAGTATTTCTTGTCTGTGAATTTCACTTTGGGTAACTTGATCTGTTTTGATTATTAAAATGACTAGGCACACCGAGGAAGTCCGGGGGGCTCCCCACGCACCCTGGGGTCCACCCCGTGTCCTAGACGCAGCGCTCCTGAAGACACTCCCCCAGCCTCCGGCACTGCCCGTCCCTGAGCACCAGCCTCGGTCGGCTCCGGTCCCCGGGGCGTCTGTCTGTCCATCGGGCTCACCCTGCCGTGTGCGGATGACCGTGGCGGGGTGGGCAGCTCCGGGCACACGGCCGCTGTGAGCCCGGCCCCTCCCCGGCCCCCACCCAGCCCCTCTGCTCCAGACACGCTCGCCCGACCCCATCATCCTGCCCTTCGGTGGCAACACGAGCCTGTCAAGGGCGCATGGGGCAGGGTGTGTGTGTGTGTGTGTGTGTGTGTGTGTGTGTGCGCGCGCGCACGCAGATGCCGGGTCCCCAGCTGCTTGTGGTGCTGAGGGGCCCAAGGGGCGCCAGGACTCCCCTGGGCGCCGGCTGGGTGTAGGAGACGCCCCTGAATGAGCCCCTTCGGCACGGGCCGCCCCGGCTCCCCACAGCACGGGTTTTCGGGCTCCGGCTCTAATTCATTCTGCATTTTCATTTTCTTCTCAATGAAAGGCTGTTTGCATGTTTTGGCTTGCAGCTCCATAACACACACACGTACGTGTGATCCAAATTAGTGCTCACAAATGTCATCTTAATTACTTGTTCTGCTGAGCAAAACAGGAAACAATTATTCAAAACATAAAGAAACTTGTGAATACCTTCCCTCCTGTCATGACAATCGGCGCCTGTGACTGCATTCTTGTTCCAGCCTGGAGACGCGGCCAGGAGCAGGCGAGGGGCGTGCGCTGGGCTCCGAAATCCACCTCCCGGCCCAGCGGGGGGTGGGGGGGTGCCCGGCGGGGAGGGGGCCGCCTCCCTGCAGCGGGCTTGCCGGGACCCCTAGCCTGGGAGAGACTTGGCGCTCGGGTTTGAGCGGGAAGCCGGGAGCCACCCTCCCAGGGCAGCCCTCATTGTCAGGCCACCCTTTCAGGTCTTTCAAGCTTTTAAAGATTATTCAAAGCACTTGAAACGGGCTTCAATCTAAGGCCTCATTTCATTGCATTAAACAGCCTAGTTAATAAAGAATCAATATATTCAAAGGGCAAGGTTATCTTTTGTCTATAAGGGGTGGTGTCGTTCTCCACCTTTTATAGTTCAGATGCTGAGAGAGACCCCATGAAATCCATACTCATCAAGAGGGTCAACGAGAGCCATAAAGAGGCCCTGAAAGGCAGCGCCTGCCTCCTTTAAAACAACTCGGGCCTTATCTCCGCCCGCGCGCAGCCAAAGAAGTCCTCAGAAAACGTCAATTTCTCATCAAGACAAGAGGCCGCGATGATCATTTTTCCCAGAGAATACATACAATTAAGGGGGTGCGGAGAGGCGGCGGCGTGCGGGGCGGCCGGGCCCGCGCGGGAGCTCCCCCCGCAGATAATAGGGCCGTTGACGACTCGAGTGTCGATCGCCGGGGAGCGGCCTCTGAGGCGAGTCCTTGTGGCCGCGCGGCGATGCCAGGCCGCGATAACGCGCGCTCGGCCGCCGCAGGTTGGCTCACAATTAACGCGCTGAATCAGGCGCACAAAGGAGCCGGCTGCTTTATGCGCCGTGAGACAATCCCGCGCTACCCTTCAAGGAGGCCTTTTATGTGGGAATAAGGTTGCTTTTAATGAAATTTAAACTCATCAGAGGAAATCAAAAACCTCCAATCAGATTACAAATTGATTTTTTGGTCGTTTGTCATTTCCCAGCAAGGAGCCGGGCTCCCGGGGAGGCTGCGGCGGGCCGGGCCGTGGGCACCGGGCTCCCGCTGGCCCGGGGGCCGCCCTGTGCGCTCAGACCCGCCCGAGCCCGTCCGTCCGCCCCCGCCGGGGAACGCGAACCCCGGAGAGGATGAGGGCGCCGCCGGGCACTGGCTGCAGCAGAGACTGAGCCCCGCACACCCAGCACCCCGGAAACTCTGGGGGTTCCAGGGTCTCACTCTGAGGACTAGTGAGCCTGGGGACTGGCCTCGCCCTGAATCTGCTGGGTGCCACAAGCAGCACCCAGGCCCCGCGCCAGGAACCTGCAGCCGGCCTGGCCCGCTCCCCAGCAAAGCCGCCTCCTGGTCGGCCACGGAGGGGCCTCCCCTTTTCCCCCCCGGACCCTGGGAGCCGATGACCACCGCAGCTGCCAGGGTCCTCCGACCCCTGTTGCAGGGGCGCCAGGTCGGGGCTGGAGGGGCCTCCTGGAGTGGGGGACTGGGTGGGTCTGCAAGGGCCTGTCTCTCCCGCGTAGATTGGGCCAGCACAGGCTGAGGCAGCAGCTCCGGGGGAGCGAGAATGGTTCCTACTCAGGCTCCTGGGGCCACCCCAAAAAGAATCTCCAGGTTTTCAAACGGCAGAAAGCCACGCCTGGATTTTGAAATTAGTGTCACATGAAAATTCAGAACTTACAAAAGTTACAGCCAATGAGCGCCGCGCAGTGAGGCCGATGTCCAGCTTCTGGCCCAGCGGCCCCCGGAAGCCAGCGCCTCACAGCGTCAGTCAAATGCCACGCGCCAGGGGGCATGGGGGCGCGGGGGTCCAGGGGGGCGCCTTGCCAGTGTGGCGGCCGCTCAGCCCAGCACCGAGCAAGCTGGGTGGAATCAGAGGCGCCGCGGAGCCAGGCACAGGCCGCCTCACGGCCCACACGGAGGAGCCCACTCTCCCGGGCTCCGGGCCCAGGCACCGCCCCGCGGGGCTGCAGCCAGCTCTGAAATTTCCAGGGACGCAGGCGCCCAGCGGGAGCGGGCAGGCCACCCTGTCGTCTAGGCCGCGGCCACAGTCCCGCTGGGCGCTGTGCCCCTGCTGCCTTAAGAGAGCACTGGCCCCACGCGCACCCCACGCCATCGAGCGCACCCAGCTTCTGCCGCCGAGAGGGCTTCTCCCTGGGCTCCCCACCCCTGCAGCCCAGCGCCGCGAGCCAGACCTCCCAGGGCAGCCCGCGGCCCCGCAGACCCTGCTCTGAGCGGGAACAGCCACGACGGGAACACGGGAAGCTTCGTGACCTGGGGCTCGTGAGCCCTGACGCGCCAAACACAAAGAGGTCACTGGGCCAGGTCGACCCTGAAGGACCCTGCGAGGCAGAAGGGTCAGCGAGATGAAAAGGCCACGCCCGAATTCGGGGGACGTTCGCAAACCCCCGTGTGGTAAGAGGTCGATTCCCCAAGTACTCAAGAACTTACCCAGCGCGTCAACTACAGAAAACAACCCGGTTACGGCAGGGGCACCGCCTCTGAATGGCTGTTTCCCCAAAGGGGCCCAGACGGCCGGCGGGTGCCGGAGAGGCGCTCCCCGGGGAAACCAAGCCAGAGCTCACCACCTGGACCCCTCAGGCGGCGGTCGCCACTCGGCACAGCTCGCTGGACGGCCGGGGACGGCGCCCGCCGCGGCTGCTCTGAGGCCTCGCCTGCCCGGGGGTCTCTTCCCTCCCAGCTCTCTGCGCAGAGGACACCCAACCCCAGAGTGAGGAACCCCCCGCCCCCCGCCTCGCCCGGCGCTTTGACAGTCTCCACTCGAGCTTTAATCTCTCCAGAGTTTAATCTTATGTTTGATGTGAGGGTTTTTTATTTTTTTCCATCTGGGAGCAAATTATTTCCAGATTGTATATTGAATGATCAGCCCACCCTTTCCAAGGATTTAAATATCCCATTATTGCTTTCTACATTCCGCTCTTCCTTGTTAATTCCCTTCCCCTGACCTTTTGGGGTACTCCTGCCCAGTCACCTTTCATTTTTAATCCTTGCAGTAATTTTTTTTTGATACTTAAATTCCAGGAAAGGCAAACTGCCAGAATCCTTTCACGCTTTCTTAGCTGTTTTTGTGCTTTCGCGCGTCCATTTGGTTTTAGAACCGGCGCGACAGGACGTACAGTCCGGAGGATGCCGGCTGACGCGACGGAGTCTTCCCACCGCACAGTCCCTCCTGCGGGAGCCGGGCGGGGCCTGCACCAGGGAGACCAGGAGTTCCAGGCTCCAGGGGAACCGGCGGCCGCCGCCTGACACGCCGCTGGAGGCACAAGGGCCTCGGGCGGCAGGAGCCCTGCAGGCGGCTCACGTGGATGGTGGTGCCAGCCCCGCCTGGCCCGGCCCTGCGCAGCGGCTCCTGGGCCTGCTCTCGGCCTGAGCCGCGCCGTCTGCGGGGCTGCCCTGGGGCCCAGCGCCGGCTCCGTTCGACCCACGCGGGCCATCGCCTG